TGCCGCGCCGTTATCTCATCGCCTCCAAACTCTATCCACTTTTTTCTCCCCGTCTCCAACCCAGCCCTCCCTACATCATGGATCCCTAAACACCAAAGATTGCTCCAGAGTAGAGCAATCAGGCTGACTTTGCTCTCTCCTTCGCAGCTATTTCATTGAAGGCCAAAGAAACCGCGCTTCCGATAATAGTTAACGTCCTTCGTCCATGATTTAGCTTGGATCTCACCTCAATTCGTCCTTTGACAGATCCAGCACAGACAAACCCTCTTCGCCCAGCCACGCCCACAAGAATAATCGCGGCTACCCCAGTACAAGGCTTCCGAATGCCTTACACACCCCCCTCACATCACCGGTCGCCGGCCTCGTCGGCCCCCACATCGCCAGAAACCAGCCGGAGATCGTCGTTTCACCAGGGACAGAATGGAAACTCAAGGCCAGTGTTACCTCGATCAGCCTCATACCTGACGAAACAGCGCCGGACACCATCAGCTTCTGGCCCTCCAAACAGAATCACCGAGCCCTCGCCTGCATCCACAAACGAGGACCTGGCGGGCATGGTCAAGAGCAGCACCGTGCGACAGTCACCTCCACCAGTCACAGGTGATCGGGGAATGCCAAACGGCGCGGTAATATCCCCTCCGGACTCATCCAGCGATGATGATGACCTACCAGAGGTACACATCGAAGCCCGGGGGAGGCAGATTGAGAATCTGAAAGAGCTGCACGAAGCCATCAGCCAGATCCCTCAACACCGGTCAAGCTCACCGGACCGCAACAAAACCAGCACCACCCTCACAGAAGCACCAGATGCCGGCGACCTGCTTGTCTTGTCGTCTCAGTCAAATGCTATTTCTGAAGGTATGCACCAGAGTTTTAGCCTAGGCCAGCTTGGCGACCTCGCAAACAGAGGCAATCGAAGAATCTCTCACGCGAGATCGGCAACCGAGCCAGATTGCATCATTCTCGACACACCTATCGGAAGCTCATTGACAAGCTCAGAAGAGGATTCCGATGAGGAGACACACCGAAAGCCACAAATGGTGCGAAAGAAGTCGGGGGAGCTCGTTCGACCCGCGCTCCGTCCTTCCTCCCGCAGGCGACCGTCGAGCATGCCTGGCACGCCAACCTTCTCCAAGGCAGTGCACTTCGACTCGCACCTCGAGCACGTGAGGCACTTCCTCCAGGTCGATCGCCCGCTTGCCGTGAGTGCCGGGTCATCGCCGGTTGATAGCCACGATAGCGACACCGAATACCCCTTCACCGGTGACAACCGGTCCAGCACATCCTCGCTTCCATATGAGTGGGACATCATCACATCCAACTTCCCTACCGACACCCCAGTCCGGAAGACACTGCCCGTTCGGCTGGAACGTGTCTGGTTGTCCAATGACCAAAAGTGCCTGATAGGATCCGTTGTTGTGGCCAATATCGCGTTCCAGAAGTTCGTGACGTGCAGATTCACTCTCGATTACTGGAAGACAACATCAGAAGTTACCGCCGAGTACATGAGCGACGTTCGCCTCGACGACCAGTCCATCAGTCACGACAGATTCAACTTCACCATCAAGTTGTCCGACATGGCCAACCTGGAATCCAAAACTTTGTACTTCTGCATTCGATATAACGTCACCGGACAGGAGCATTGGGACAACAACGGTGGCATCAACTTCCAGGTTGACTTCCGGAAGAAGATGCTTCCGCAAAACGGCAAGAAAGGCGTCATTGGTGCCGCCTCCCGCCCTGTCAACGGGCTACCAAAGAGCCAGCGCCGCGCTGCTCCCTCTGTTGTACCACGGCCCAAGTCGATGCCGGTCGGTGCGGACGACTTTGGCGACGACTCGAAGCTGTCGTTTGACCAGTCGCTTGATGACTACTTGAGAGACGCCATGACAACCAGCCTCAGACTCAAGGGTGTCAAGAGCACAACCAACCTGCCTAGCGATAACCTCTCCAACCGCCTGCCAGCACCTAGCGGCCAGGCCTTTGCCAACCGGTACGACTTTGGTGCATCGCTCACCGCGGCCATTCAGACTGCCAAGGATTCCACACCTGGGAAGCCCGATGGGCTTTACATGAAGCCATCCAACAAGAAGCCGTTTGTTCCTCCGACACTCAGCCCACAGAAGGACACGACCAGGAGCAGAGAATCTACCAAGCCTTCCGGCGCGGCCCCCGCTACAGGGGCGTCTAAGCCGGCGCCCAAGCCCGCCACCACGGTCTCAGGCACAGATTCCCCGAGTGCGAGCATCTCGTCATCATCATACGAGGAGCTCGTCAACAAATACTGCTTTGTACGTAACACGGATGACATCTACTCCGGTCAAAGTCCCTCACGAGGATCCGACGAAGACATCTTCCTTACTCCCCTTCCGTATATACTAACTTGGCCGGTAACAGTTTGGAACCAAGCCGCTGAGTCCTCAACTTAAGGACGGTACATTGCGGGGGGGTCGATATGACGGTGCCGACGACATCGCCAAAAGCACTGACAGCAGCAGCACGTCGAGTTACGAGTCGAGCCCTGTTCAGCTTAACAACTACTATCACAGCCACAGCGGAATTCAACATCACTCGTTGCATCCGAAGGATCCGAATCCTTACTTTCAGCACGCCTCCCCTTTCATGTCCATTGGGGCGTCGCCTTCACAGTCGCCGCTCCGCAGCTTCTCTCCTCACCTAATGGGCAGCCCCTTGGCCGGACAGATGCAGTCTTCATCAGCTTCAAGTCAGACTGTTGGACGATCCCCCTCACCCGCTGCGTTGGTAGGCAGCTTCACGCCCTACGCCGGTACGTCGTCGAATGAGTACCCATACCAGCAAACGCCCGACCGTTTCCCATTCTCTGGTGCCGAGGCTCATTCTGCGACAGCAATCAGGGGCTGATGGACCAACCAGCCAAGGGCAAAACCGAGGCTGCCTCGGCCTAGCATATCGACGCTGATAATCCTCAAATCACCTCGCGGGGACGACAACTCACCCCTTCCGCGCTGCACCGACGCTGTACATTTGCTCACGAACGCTCGTCCGACGGGACACTAATCACCACATTCTCATTTGCCGGTTTTCGTTCTCCTAAAATTCCAGCATCGGCTGGCTGTTTGGCGTTTGGGGATACACATTTGCTTTTCTGGCATGATGAGACGCGACCTTGATGTATGATAGGGACTCTGGCCGGCCTGGCACGAACAGAATTCCCAAGTGGTTTTGCCTTCAACTGAGGCGGCATCGCGGTCCGGCATATACGAACGGATTTTCTTTTCTTTTTTTTCATGGTTAAAAGGCGTCTGATTCGTTTTGCATCAAATCAAGCCTGGCTTTTCCTTTTCTCTGCATCGCCTTCCGTTATCATTGTTAGCGGTGCCAAAAGGGGCATTGCCTTGTTTTACTTATAATTGGTTCTTTGATGGCACGTTTTGTTCGGCGGCGCTGTTCAAGCGCCCAAGGGGAACTTGCCGGCGAGGAGTTCGGAACCACGATAGGGATACAAAAGGGCTGGTCAAGCGGGCGGAGTGCCGCCACAGATTGCATCAACTTTGGCAGGGTCAGCTTTCGCCGCAGGCACTGGACTGGCAACTAGCGTGTTGCTTGGTTGAACAAGTTTTTGGTTCATCATCTCTATACGTTACACTCTTACTGCTGCCCGCGATCTTCATGGTAGTCACTATAACCCGTGATGGATCTATCTCATTCTTCTGATGGTCGGAGACTGCGTCTGTGTCGACTCATCACACCCCTAGGGTCGCGACGCGAGTCGGTCGGTGCTCAGGTGCTATACCATTTCCGGGGACTGGATTGGGCGGGCTGGCTATATCGGTACGGCCATCCTCGTCTATTTTCTCCTTCTTTGCACGGGGTTGGGGGACAAGAGTTCCGCGACAGGAAGATGGAAAAGAGAAGGATACGGACACCGAGGGAATAAAATGGGATTCCCGCGCCAAAGTATGGATTGGGACAGCGATGAACATGATTGCCGAACCACGTTTGGGGCGCGAGCGTGAACGAGCGCGGGGTGATGAGCGACCGTGCTGGTGCGCGCTCTTGGGAGGGGCAGTTACTTTGATGGCCTCGCGCGCGGGTCAATCTGGAGTTTGGTCTGGGGACAATTGGAACAGGAACAGGAACGGAATCGGTTACGTTACGGACGAGACACTCGGAAGGGTAGAAAAGAATGCCTACCTATAGTATCGATTGAGCGACGGAGGAATAGGATGGAGTTTTATAAAAAAAAATACAATCCAGACGCTTTTGAGCATGAATTCAAAGCATCGTTTATTTCACCTCTGAGACTTGTGTGACTTGCTTTGTGACTTGGGTTTTGTGAAGGTGGTGACTTGGAGTTTGATGATGGCGTGTGTTCTGGTATGTTATCATTCGTAGTTCTTCATTCATTATTGGGAGATATAACGGCTGGAGCTACCCAACTGCCGTTGGAGGTAAGAGGCTGATCTCAAGAAGAGAGCGAGTTTATTCCGTTATACATCCAGATTTCTTTCCTTTGCGTATTCAGCTTCCTTTCCTTCGATACGTGTATCCCTTGCGACCCTTGATGTATATGGTATACCGATTCAGACGAGGACTGACTGAGCTCCAGTTGTGGATCCTCGGTGGACTTTGAACTAATTAGATATTGGTTACATCAAAAGTCCAAAGAGAAACCCAGGATCTAAGCATGAGGGAAGCAACAGGGGGATATTAATTATAGCAAAGCAAAGCAAAGCAAAGGAAAAGCCTCGGCTGGTACTATCAAGTACCTGACTCCACGGTTTATGTTCATTCGCCGACGTAAGGTCACGATACCCCTGGAACACGACACATTCACAGTCTCCACCACCGAGTCAGCAACCTAGCTTATCTGGCTCAAACAAGCACTTTCATATGCTCTATCTGGCAGTGTTTTTTTTCTCCTTGCCCTTTTGAGTGGCGATTCCACGGGTTACGTTAAGCATAATTGCGGCCTGTCATTCCATCCAAGAAAGAACGAACCAATTGGCTTTAAACAAGCCCGGCTAGCTCAATCGGTAGAGCGTGAGACTCTTATTCTGTGGAGTTATTATCCTCTCACGGACTTTGGTTATCTCAAGGCTGTGGGTTCGACCCCCACGTCGGGCTCAATTCCCGGCGTCAGATTGTAGAGTCTGATTCCTTTCTTTTTTTTTTCATTTCCCTCTCTTTTTCTCTTTTTTTTTTTTTTTTCTTTTTTTTTTTTTTTTTGGGTCATCTTTTTTTACCCTGGTTCTTGTTCACACACCCCTGTGAGTGTTCGTCTGCCAACTCGTCTCTGTCATGTGCACACCGACCGTGATAATCAGATTGAGCGGGACAACCTGTACCCCAGAACTTGTTGAATGATTTCGATGCTCTCTTGTATTTTATCATGGCTTGTGTCTCTGGCAAAGTTTCACCAATTTTGTTATCAATTAATTACTGCTTCTCAACCTTGTCACGAAGTCGGTCTGTTGAATTGATAAAGTCAAGATTGGTGTTGCGTTCGTTGGATTATAATAGTTGGCTAAGGTATGCCATGGAGAACTTAGTACTACTATGGATTATTATAACACGCCTTCTGAGTCAGTTACACACAGCGTCGATCATGGTGAGTTTGTGACACAATCGTATCTTTTGACTGTTTGCGAAATGCACCGCGATTGGTGGAAGTCCATCTCGAACTGTGGAGCGCCAAACGCCAAGGAGTCCAGGCGTCCTTGGCATTCAGCCCTGTCAGCTGCGCGCAACATGCACCCCAAACCGATGCAATGCATTGCATCAGCATTGAGTCCCGTCTTGTCTTTCACAAGGCGTACATAGTTACGAAAAAAGATTTGGTAAAGCATCCCACAGAGAGAGTTGCCAGCAACCGACTTTCATGTTCCAAAGGTAGTTGACCTCGACATGACACGGACTCTCTTTCAAAGGTTGTTTTCCACCCGCAAGCTCAAACCTGGTTCTCCCTTCTCCGCCAAGGGTGCCGCTGTGCCTCGAATTTCGATAATCAGCCGCGCTACCGCCATATTGGGGCGACGGGCTCGCTACAGGGCCTTGGCAACTGTAAAAATCTTGGAGCAATGTCCTTCACGTGGGAGGGAAAGCGCCGCTAGTCATGGCAATCCAGAGTCCAGACTGCGAGAGACTTTGGTCACCGTGCTCGTTGTGTTGTGTGTGCATTTCATGTTGCTATTAAAAGTACGATGCAGTGGTGAGTGGGTGGGTGGTGGCAGTGCACGAGATGAACATTCGACGGATTTGACGTTCGTCATTCATTCGCTGGACCACGGGTAAGACCAGACCAATGGGTGCATGCGATCAATCACGAACCGTCAACGTTTGTCTGCCACCCAGCATGTCGGATTCACTGCAGCACCGATCGTGGTGTGTGTGACTGTGTGCGTGCGACCGGGGGGAGCTCCGCCCCAGACAACGGCCTTCAGCCGCCCGACACTCTGCATCCACCGCTTTGGGTCTAAACATGCGCTGGCGTCGAACCAGTGGACGGGGATTTGCTTGCCCACAGGTGGTCGGGCGGCGTCCATCGTGGCGTTTTTTTTCTCCAACGCGTTTGTTCAGCTGCGCAAAAGCCTGACTGGCCGGGACTCAACGAGCGAAGGTGGTGGGAAGGAAATCAACAAAAGGGAGGCCCGGCCCCCGGGGGGAAGTGCGTGGGTGGCTTTTGAGCTTTTTCGGTTCTGCATCTCGCTTTTGTCGTCGTTGAGTTGTACATTACACTTGGGCATTTAATTATCTATCTGTGTAATTATCATTGCTTGTGAAGCGACGACCAGCAGTACTGCACCCCTTGGTTGGCATTGTTTTTCATCACTCGCACTTGTGGCCATGGCGACCACCACCGCCATCGCAGCGGCAGCACCGCCGCCGCTGCCCACCCCGATCCAGACCACATTCATGCCCGCGCTCCGGGCGCTGATGCCGAGGTCGCGCTTCACAAACAGCACCGTCACGACAAGAGGGCCCGATTGCGCTGTAAGCTTTAGTCCATGTCTCTTGATGGCCAGTTCTAACATGCTGGGGTGGTCTTCTTTTAGAAATTCGATGGCTTCAAGACGTGCAGCGCCGGGGGCGACTACGGGTCCTGCATCGCGGGCAACAACAAGGCGACGTCGTCGTGCAACTGCAACTTTGGCGTCGGCTACCTGGACTGTCTCTCGGCGGCCATCGCCACGTCGAGCTGCTGGGGGGATGCCAACGTGGGCATCGCCAGCGCCGACTGGGACGGCTACGAGCGGTCGTGGTTCCAGACCTCGTGCGCGAAGCCGCCCGCCACCGTCATGGCGGAGCTTCCCCAGCCGTGAGTTCCATGCGCGCCTACAAGAAAGAATGAAAACTGCCGGGTGGTTGTGCGGCAGACGGATATCACCTTGAGTACTCGACTAACATGCAACTTTGAACTCTAGCACCACGGTTCAGATCGTCTTTTCGTAAGACAGCCCCTCCCCCCTTCCCTACCTAGTATCATATCCCAGACTAGATTAGCTGACAGAACACCCCCTCAACAGATCAGTCAACGTCGTGACCCCCGCGGCCCCCGTGCCCCCCGTCGCCGCCACCCAGATCGAACCGCCCAAGTATAGCGGCACCGGCCAGCTGCTCGTCGGCGCCTGCAGCGACCCGACCTACACGCTGATCGACGGCGGCGACACCGTCTACCTCGCCGCCTTTGTAGGCTGCGGCGCCGACCGGCCCGAGTGCTGCCCGTGGAGCGTGTCGTCGACCTCCACGACCGTGACCGCTGCCCGCGTCACCCAGGCCGGCGTCCTCGTCGCCGGCGGCGCAGGCAACTTCCCTGCGCCCGCGTCAGGCGTGCAGACCAACCTTGCGCGCTGCCCGGACGATTACTACTCCGTCTCTGGCCAGTGCTGTCCCAAGTTCGTCCCTCCCATCCCATCCCCCCTTTCCCACTCAATATTTACTAACCCCTTCTCCACTATTTAAAGCGGCTTCTACAAATTCACAAGCATGATAGCCCACCAAACCCCCTGCTTCAGCTCCCTCGCCGCCAAAGTAACCCCCCCGCCCGTCACAGCCGGCCAACAGGACAACCCAACCGACACGTCCAAACCGACCTCAGCAGTCGTCAACATCGCCTGGGCCATGGGCTACAACGTCTCAAGCGACGCAGGCGGCCCCGCGCTCTCCAAGGGCGCGACCATCGGCATCGGCGTCGGCGCGGGCGTGGTGGCCATCGCGCTCGTCGCCACGGCTGCGCTGGTTATTTTGCGCATCAGGCGGAACAAGAAGGCTGCGCTGGAGGAGCAGGCTGCTGCTGCGGCGGCTAATGGACGGGGGAGTACGTATATGCCTGACCAGGCCGCGCCGACGGTGCCGGTTGTGGTGGAAAAGTATCCGACGCAGGCGTATCCGCAGCCTACCCCTGTGGGGGGATGGAATCAGGAGCGGGATCAGGGACAGGGTCAGGGGTATTATGGCGGCGGGTATAACGTGGATGCCCAGCAGCAGCAGCAGCAGCAGTACCAGCAGCAGCAGTACCAGCAAGCGTATGAGTTGCCTCAGCCGGGGGCGCAGCAGCAGCCTGCGATTTACGAGGGGCAGTATCGGAGATAGGTTAGTGGGTGGTGCTCTCATGGGTGGATGGAGACGTTCTTGTGGGAATAAATGAGGGGGATAAGTGCTGGTGGACAATGTTTGACATGAATGCATTGAGGCACACGCAGAATGTGTTATGGTTGCGATTTTTGAGTGCAGGCTGAGCGCATTAGAGTCGGCGTTGGGCGGCGTCCTGTCACGCGAGTGCATTGCTTTGCATGTAATTAATGAACTGTTTTGCTCAGTTGATGCTTTGCCTTATTTACTAGACCGTTTAATACTCGAGTATTATGGCTGACACATACAATCTTTGCCGTCACTGATCGACTTTATATTTCCATATGTTGCTGGAAGTTGTTTGTGACTTGACTTGAATGTGTGATGTTGAATGAGTCTCTTTGGCGGTTCAAGTTTGATGCTGGCGGGTAATTAATACCGTCCGTGTATGTAAACAAAGCCCCCGAGTTGTGTTCAGTATTATGTATTCATTTCCTCCAGTGATGTTGAATCCACCTGGTACAAAATCAAGTCCCCGTGCTGAAATTTTACGCTGGCTCTCACCCAGTACTCTGTTTGCTTTTCTTCGTCCGGTAGACTCGGGTGGTTGAATCATAGACCTCGAAATCAAGCCTCATCTCCAAACCTATCAAGGACTCGGAGTTATAATTTGTTGGCAACAATACTAGGTACGTAGAGGTATCGACCAATTTATCTACCCACTCCTCACAACCAGATACCTGCCTCCCTACTCACGCCTCTCCAGGCTCGCCGACTTCCCTCTTGTCATCTGATTGTTCATCCATACACGATCTAAGTACCCAAGGATCAAATCTACCGGACAGTCACGGTCGGCCGATATATCCATATGAGGCAGTGAGGTCCTTAAAAATGCTCTGATTTGCTCCTCTGCTGTTCCCAACTCGTTTCCAGTCAGGCGCCGTCGAAGCTCCAAGGCGGTGCTACCGCTCTTTGCCAGATGGCGTAGTCGCGACGCCCGGTGGTGATCATGATTTCTGCTCGCGTGTGTTTCGTTAATATCAAGGAATGGATTTGTGTCGTGTTCGTCCGGCGGCGCTGGCTGGTCGCCTCCCTCGATTATTAGAGATATAGGTGTCACGGTGGTAGTGGTTGATCGGTTGTTGTCATGATTACTGTGAAGTACCCGCGCAGAGCCGGGAGAGGTGGGATCGGTCTGGTCTGGCTCTTGCAGCTCTTCAAGGCCTCCTCGTTGATCATCCGGGCTGCGGAGTTGGGAGCGGAGCAGCGCGGTCATCTCGACGAGGTCGTCGTGGCAGAGAACAAGATTGTCCATCGTTCCTCGGATGTGCTCGGTGTCGGTTTTGATCTGGACATTGAGCGTTCTAAGGAGGAATAGGTGATGTTAGCTCCTTATGTGAGTGTAGTAGGATCCTTGGTATTTTGGCCATGGGTGGGTACGAGGGACCTTGGGAGTGAAACGGGAGAGAGAGAGAACGCGCACATATTCAAAACATGCAACCCAATCCCAAGCGCAGACCTATACCCCTCCAAATCCCGCCGGAGCTTATCCATAT